TTCGCCAACAAATCCCACCGTCAACTCGACAGATGCACAGCAATGAATTTACCACCCAGGTATTTTCATCCACTGGTGCCACACTGACTGTGTATGCGCCCAAGCGGAAGAAGACTGTGTATGTTCTCAACGATTGAGAATGGAGAAAACCACCAAAAAGAAGCCAAACACCATCACACTCTACAACACAACAAAGTGCGGCGTCGATATCATGGACCAGATGGTGCGGGAATACACTGTCCGCGCAGCAACAAGGCGCTGGCCAGTAGCAGTGTTCTACAACATGATAGACATTGCAGCACTGAATGCCCACGTGCTCTATCAATTATGCACCGGGAGAAAGGAAAGACGGGTGGATTTCCTGTTTGAACTGGCAAGAGAGTTGGCTCACTCCCACGTGGGTATGAAAAAGGCCCAAAAGGAGCAATTGCTTCGGCAACAACCCTCCACACCACAACTCGGACAAAGAGCCAAGTGTCAGGCTAAAATCAAATGCAAGGACAACAGTGCGCTGTGAAAAGTGTTACAAATACACATGTGGGAAATGCCGAAAGGAGCAATGGCAGTGCCAGAATTGTTAGTGACTGCTCAAATGCATTTCACTCATTTGCATTCTTTGTAAATATGCTTTTTTTCTTTGTAATTTCTTTTTCTTCTATCTTTGGCACACAAAAATAAGTTACTTGAGTCACAACCTTCCACACGAAAACTGGGAAAACAGTTGCTTTTGCATTCATTGTAAATATGTTTTGTATTTTTTTAACAATAAATGTTTAGAGTTTTGATCCCAAATTCTCGTTGATCCTGATGATTCACTGCATAAAAATCCACTAAAAACTGGCCAAGCTTTTAGCCTGTGTAGCTTCCCCACACAGGCTCAAGCGACTCTGTGACTCAAGTGACAGCTATGAGCTGCTAACAGCCACATTTCCACAACAAAAGGAGTGTCCGCAGGAGGTCCAAAGGGTCAAATGACCCTCTTGTAGGGCTTTTAGGTAAAAAGGTAAATTGACCCCTCCGTAGAAGTTCTAGTGTTAAAATTTACTGTAGCGAAACCTGATACCAGAAGGACACTGTATGGTGGCACAGTTTGTAGCACTGTTGACTTGCAGCAACACGCTTCGGGGTTTGAGTCACACTCAATTTCAATTCAGTTTATTTCTATAGCGCCAATTCACAACACATGTCATCTCAAGGCACTTTAGAGTTCAACCAGATCATCCAGTCAGATTGATTCAAAGTTTTCTAAGGAAAACCAGTTGATAGCATCGACTCATTGACTCTTCAGCAATCCCTCACACTAAGCATGCTTGTAGCGACAGTGGAGAGGAAAACTTCCCTTTTAACAGGAAGAAACCTCCAGCAGAACCAGACCCAGTTTGAGCGGCCATCTGCCGGGGCCGACTGGGTTTCAAGTCTAGTTTGCATGTTTTCTAGTTTGCGGTTCTCTCTGGGCTCTACAGCTTCCTCCCAAAGTCCAGAAGCATGACTGCTAGGTTAACTTCTCTCTAAATTGCCTTAGGTGTGATTGTGTCTGTGTGCATGTCCTTCCCTGTCTCTGCCTTGCGATAGAATGGGGACCTATCCACTGCCTTTTGATCAAATTTTTATGAGTCAACAGCACAAACAGTGATCAGACCCAAATTAAATGAAACAGGAGGTAAGAAAGTATTCAAGTATTTAACCCTTTTGTCTTCTTTTTGTATTCTTCTTCAGAGAATATACATTTAGAATGCTTATTCCATTATTATATTTGATACTTCAGAAAGGAGCATTTATACAATGAATTTACACCATAATACATGACAACGCCCAAGAAAAGGAGATGATGGACACTGGTTTAGAAGATTTATAGGTAAGAAATCGAGAAGAAGAAAACCAAACCAAGCCCCCCAAAAAGTCTGCTAAAATTGCAGCTTGAATAAATTTTTTTAAGATTGAAATTTGTTTGTTGGGGAAAAAAGATGATGCTCTGAAAACTGAACCATATTGACTGCTGTGTTTGTTTCAGTATTATAAACTGCTCATGTTCTGCTATCCCTTCCCCTCTCTACCACATTTTAATGTTACTTTGTTAAAGAAAATAAGATCTTAAGCAGCACTGAAGACAGGAGAGGAGCAGATGTTCTGTATTTGCTTCCCTCTGTAGCTGGTAAATGGACATTAGAGGACATAATGATCCATAATAATGTTCTATAATACGATTAAGTGGTTTCTTTATAGCTTCCTTCTTATCTGCTTCACTTTGTCTTGACTAAATTAATATATTTAGAAAAAACACTTCATTGCCATTTTAGGTTTTTTTTTCTTACATATTCATGGAATCTTAAAAAGTTTAACAGGTTGTTTTTTTTACGCCAAATGGATAAGATGTTCTTTAAAAGAAAGATAGAAAAAGAAAATATCCATCAAAAATTGTTCCAAAAATTCAAAAAATGTGTTTTTCATTTTTAACTAGAGAAAAATCTTCAGACCCCACACCAAGCAGATGCATAAACATATTGCACTTTTGATAAATCTATCAATATTCTCTTTCCAGAACAACTCAAGTGGAAAGATTTTAGTTTCACCTGGTTTAATTTCATACAAATTTTTATTTAAGGAACTTTTGGCTATCCAATTATTAATTGATTATTCAAAAGAAATTATTGACAGATAAATTAATTTGGGAAATAATCATTAGTTGCAGCCCTAATCTATTCGAGCCCGTTTGAAGGAAAGCTCCTGCTTTAGGTGGAGGAGTTAAGTATTTATGAGTGAGGGATCAATAGACTGCAGAATCTGCTAGTTCAATCTCTTACGTTATGCTGTCTCCAGTTTTTCTCATTGTAGCTTAATCTGGTCTGTTCCTGTTTGGCTGTGACTCCATCTTGGAGAGAAATATCAGCTGTGCTGCTGCCATCAACACTTTTGTTTATAGCTGTTGGAGATCGGCCTGTTTTCCAGTGTAGTCCTGTTTCTCTGACTGTGACTAACTGGATGTGCTCTCTTCATCCTCTGACATGGGAGCTGGCTCGGAGCTCGTCTGCCTGGCTGTGTGTTTCCTGGTCAGGGCCGCCTGTGGAGCTGGTTTACGGTTGCTTTCTGTATCTCTGCTTCTGTCTCCTTGAACCCCAGTGGGCCTCAGCAGATGGCCGCTCACACTGAGCCTGGTTCTGCTGGAGGTTTCTTCCTGTTCAAAGGGAGTTTTTCCTCTCCACTTTCACTACAAGCATGCTTAGTGTGAGGGATTGCTGGAGAGTCAATGAGTCGATGCAATCAGCTGGTTTTCCTTAAATAGAAAACCAATTTTAAATCAATTTGACTGGATGATCTGGTTGAACTGTAAATTGCCTTGAGATGACTTGTGTTGTGAATTGGTGCTATAGAAATAAACTGAACTGAATTGAATTGAAGCATTGGTGCAACTGTTGCTGTGCTGTGGACTCTGCTCCAGTCTGTTCTGGTGAAGAGAGAACTGGGCAAAAAAGGCTTTCCATTTACTGGTCCTTCTACATTCCTACCCTCACCTGTGGTCATGGAATTTGGACCATGGTCAAAAGAACCAGATCTTAGATCCAAGAGGCTGAAATGAGGGGGGCAGGGCTCTGCCTTAGAGACAGGGTGAGGAGCTTGGTCATAGAGCTGCTCCTTCTCCACATCAAAAGGGGTCAGCTTAGGTGGATCTTACATCTTTTTCAGATGCCCACTGGATGCCTACTTTTGGTGGCCTTCAGGCATCTCCCACCAGGGGACGGTTAGGACACCCTGAAGGGACCATGTGTCTCAGCTGGTCCAGGAGCTCCTCAGGCTTTCCCCAGCAGAGCTGCAGGAAGTGTCTGGTAGTCTCTGCTGAGACAGCTGCCTCTGCTACCCAGTCCTAGATAAGCTGTCAGTGACTATGGTTGAATACATTTCCTATTAAAGACGTGCAAAGCTATGTAAGCATTAGTGCATTTCTTATGATATGATTGTAGCTTTTATTCCATTTAATTGATTTAACTTAATGACACAATAGAGCACAATAAAGCTTATCTTAAAGAGTAAAAGTTTTTTAGAAAACATAATTGGGCAGACTTGTATGATAATTCCCAACTACATCATATGCTGCATTACAGTTGAACATTTCTACTTCGAGTGATATTACTGCTTTCTAATTTTTGCATAAAATATTTTTATCGAAAGCAAAGTAAAACCAGAGTCAAGTTCCAGTTTTATATGTTTTAAGTAGTTTTTCAGTTCTGTTGAAAAAACTGTAATTCAGAGTCTGACTATACCCATCCATGCACAAACTATAAACAATAAATCCACTTTTAGAAAGGAGACACATTAAACAACCATTGCCTATTAACCATTTCTAAAAAAAATCTACATTTACAGGACATGATGTGACCTCATTCTGTAACTTCGTTGAAGCATAGAAAGATATGAACCAACTTTTTCTACTCCTTCATTGTTTGTTCTGATTTGAGCATGCACGACTGAGTGGTCTCATTCTGAGTCAGTCATGTGTGAAATCAGACACAGATTAACTGGACTCCCACCAGTTCAGAGCGCTCTTCATGCTATTAGTCTAAGAAAGTCTATAGCATAAGCAGCTTTGGTGATTAAATCATTTAGCCTCAACATGTTGTATCACTCTAGTTACATTTTATAAGAAATCATTTAAGTTTGTAATAATTATAAAGGGTGAAATAGACATTTCCAGTTTTTGAGCAAGTTCATGCACAGTTGAGGCACTGAAGAGTTCTTACATCACACAAAACTTTGTGAAAGTCACTTGCTTATGGAGGAGAATTGTTAATTATACTAAATTCCTATCCCTTCTGAACAAGTAAGAAACCACAGGAGATGCTAGATTATATTTTTTACAAGGATTACTTCTGCATATTATATACTTTTTAATAGGCTTATTAATGACAAGTAAGTGCAAAGTATTTTATTTAGTTTTGTGTGTTTATGTCCATTAATAAACTCTCCCAATGGGACTTTTACATTAAACAAAGATTGTCTCTACTCACCCCACTTAAACATCATCATTGTCAGCAGAAGTGTCTTTAGATTCAAATGAACTTTTCCCAGCTCCATGGTGAAGTTACAGACCTAAATCCATGGAAGAAAAAAAATGTGATCCTGGTTTAAAAAAGAAAAAGGCAAGCGTCTAAAGGCTGGCTTTCCCTACTGCGACCATCCATGCTTGGCCACAGACAGCCTTCCCTGGCCATAAGAAGAGTGATCAGCCATCAGTGGGAGAGAGAGATGTCAGGAAAACATGAGGTGGACTAACACCTGCTACTGTGAAAGAGTTCTTATTAACTCTTTCATTGCACTTCAGGGATTAAACCAATTATCTCAGTTATAAGGAAATAATTACATATAACTCTAATACCAGATGTAAACATAAACTTATAATGAAACAGAAATAGATAATTGCAATATACAGTATTACATTTATGAAGTTGTAAAATATATATATGGATATATTGATTAAACACTCAAAACGCTACAAAAGTACAGTGGCTAATGTTGATAATGTACATAGAGAGTACACATAAATGAGACTAACACAAAAAAAAACACAACATAAATGTAAAGTAAAAACTGCTTAACATTTTTATGCAATCACTGAAAATAAAAAGATGCTTAGTCTAAACACTGTAAATACATTAACTAGTTAAAAAAACACAAGTCAGTCAATCAATCAAATATTGTTTATTAAGCGATTTCCAACAGCCACAGACAATTAAAAGAAGGGAAAATAATAAAGCAAGTAGATTCAAATTTAGTATACGTATAGATAAAAATGCTATATTTAGCCCCTTTCCTATTGAAAACCTGTGTTTTTTTAAACCGGGTTAACCCGCTAGCAATCGGCTTTTAGCTCTTTTCCCATTTGACAGAACAGCTGAGTCGGATCCTCTGCTGACAAGCGGTGTGACGGCTGTCCTCCACCTCTGGGTGTCTGATGACGGCATCACGCTGGGTGAGCGAACATTGATGATGTCATTGGGGCAACGGAAATCAGGGGAGTAAACAATGGACGGGAGTCAGAGAGCAGTCAGTATTCTTCATTGTTTCGCTCTTATATCTGTCCAAATCTGTCCCACCAGAGTTATGCCATGTTTATCGAATGTAAACTGTTGTTTCGGCTTGTTAGAACAGAAGAGACTGGTGTGTTGACGTCTGTATGTTGCATTCAATGGTGTCATCCACTTTATTTTTTCCCCCGTCTGGGGTTCCCACAGCATGCCGATCAGAGCCAGTGTGTTTTTAATGCGGGTCACAGACACATCCGCAAGCTGTTCCCACGGCCACTAAAAACTGATTGTTCCCAGGTCTAAAGGGGTTTTTCGGCCTGTGGGAAAGGGGTATTAGAAGCAGACATATTTTCATGTATTAAACATCAATCTGATCTAGTAGATCTGCAGTTTCTTCTTAAAGGGCAGGGTTGTAACAAAAGGCGCAGGTCCAACATAATACATTTTTGCAGTTTAGGCCCAATCACTCTAAAAGTCTGATGAGACCATGGGACCACAAGGAGGTGATGTGAACAAGTCGTTGCTGGTTTGGTGGGGGTAAGATGGAGCAAAGCCATGGGTTAAGCTAAAAACACACATAGTTGAACTGGATTCTGAACTAAACTGGGAGCCAATGGGGAGAGTAAAAACTAGAATGATACTTTTCATGCTAGTTTTAGTAAGGAGCATATCAACCACATTATGAATGAGTTGCTTGGCATGGATTTTTCTTTTTATCTGGAATGAGTGAGAAAGTCCTTGACTTAAAATCAGAAATGACTTGCTGCAAACCAAAAAAGAATGCTAACATACACACATACACAAAAAAATACTGCAAGTTTCCAAAACTACTGCAATTTGACAATGCTGTAAATGAGCTACACATAATGGAAGTACTAAGACCATTAGGTACCATAAGGTTAGTTGACAATCAACAACTAACATGGGGCCAGTCCATAGACAGTCCATCCTGGTGTCTTTTCAAGAATTTTTAGGGCCTTTCTACATTCATTCTTCCTTTAGTTATATAAAGCCTGTCGGTACAATATGCTCAAATAAAATTCTCCTGTAAGTTGTTCCGATCTATCAAGCTATTGGTCTGGCATAGTGTTTTAAAGAAAAGACTGATGCTGTTCCTCCACCAAACATGGTTTGTGCAATTTTATTCAAAACGTTGAATTTTGGCCCCATCTGAATAGATACATACTAACTGAGTATTTATTTGGATTTTCCAAATGTTCTGCAGAATATAAATCTCAATAAGTTATTTTTTCTTAAAATAAGTGTGTTTTTCCTTGATTTGAGGAGGTAAGTAAGACACTTTGCCAATGGAACAAGACAATTTCCTTTTAAAATAAGAAAAAACTATTTTATCGTCTTATTTCAAGTAAATATTATCTAACTATCTTATTTTAAGAGTGAAAATACTCATTCCATTGGCAAATCATCTTATTTACCTGCTCAAATTAAGGCTAAATATACTTAATTTAAGCCATTTTTTACTTATTTCTGGATTGTTTTTGCAGTGACTAGTGTGTCACTACTTTAGCATTCAATGAATGTGGATAGAATTCAATGCAGAAGATTGAATTGGTTGGTTTTTTTTTTTTAAACTTTGTTTATTGAACATTTTGAACATAAGACAAACATAGTTGGGACAAATTCAAAGTGTCAATACAGTCTCAATGTCACAGTTCTGTCAACCCCCAATCCACCCTGACCACCCACCCCACCCACAGGCCAAAAAATAAATAAATAAACAAATGAATAAAATAAAAAATAAATAAATAAATAAATAAATAGAATAAAATAAATAAAAATAAATGAATAAAAAAATTATTAAAAAAATAAAATAAAAAAATAAAATAAAATAAAAATAAAAAAGGGTAGATATGGGTGTAAATGTAGATAAATAAGTAGAGATCATGTCAGACATTCAAGTATGCTCAGGGTCAAGAAGATTCAAAGAGTCAAAATATCTAAGAAAAGGGTCCCATGTAGCCTGAAATAACTTGACTGAATTGGTTGTTTTAATAGAAACATACCACCTAATAAGATGTTATTGTCATCTGACGCTTTCTCAGACTTTGGAACTTGGACAGTTCTTTGAATTATTCCTGTGCCTCCTCTATGAATGTGAAGAGCCCATGATTATAAATAAAGTTGGACTGGATTGGATTAAGTAGCATGATTGGTTTCTATTAAAACAATTTTTGCAACCCTCCTGCAGCGGCATAGTCCAGAGGTCTATAAAATATAAATTCCACCAATGCAATTCAGTTTGAGCTTCAAAAGAAGTCTACAGATGTCTCTGGAGAACTCTGAGTTTTATCTGATCCTTCTTGCATGATACATTTTAAAGTTCATAAAACTTGGACCTGTGAGGTTATTTAGTCCAACCATTATCCTATTTTAGTAATTGTACCACTGAAATTACATTGTGTGATGTAGCCTATATACATACTGATAATATTCGTAGAAAGATACATTTGTTTACTTGCAGCTTTAGCTCCTGAGTTGACCATTTATGAAAGTCCTGGGTCAAACAAACCAAATACATCATACTATGTCTAAAGGTGTGAATTATACATGAAGTATCTGAGCAATTCGGTCATAAGTGTGTGTACATTCCAGTAAGTCCATGCCAGGATTTAGTTCTAAGCCCATTAGTATCCAGGAGCTTTAGTGACTTCTACACCACAGAGATTAGCAGATATCTCTCACTTCTTTAGTCTCCCCTCCTCCACCACAAGCAGGTGCTCACAGATACATCTACTCGATCTGCACCTGATCTTGTTTGTGACCTACACTGTTATCAAAGAGTTGTGTCTAAATCTAAATATTATTCATAAGCATGTTCACAATAAAACTAAATCAAATTTAAATAATTTCACTGCATTTCATATATTTATACCTGTGGGATAAAAAGGATTAAAAATTTTATCTACTTTGCCCATTTTTTATTTTCAATTCAATTCAATTCAGTTAATTTATATAGCGCCAAATTCACAACACATGTCATCTCAAGGCACTTTACAGTTCAACCAGAACATACAGTCAAATTGATTCAAAGTTTTCTATCTAAGAAAAACCAGCTGATTGCATCGACTCATTGACTCAAATACAGTCCCTCACACTAAGCATGCTTTTAGCGACAAACATTTTTAATATGTAAAATATTTCGAACATTTAGATTTTTTTTTGTTGGTCTCTTTGACATTTGTAGATTAAAAGCAGTACATGTGCTTTGTTTATTATTTTTGGTGCTGCTATCAGTTGAAAACAGGGGAGAGTGGGATTAAAGTAAACTCTTTTCTCTTCTTTTTTGTGTGCGAAGTGTGCGGTCTAAAATCTGATTACATCCACAAATTACAATATACAATCTGAGATTTCTAAACAAAACGTTCTGCAAGGTGAAAGAAACACACCACAATGAATATCTAGGGGTTTGGATATTGCATTGGATATTGTATTTTTGTATTGTATCGCTTCAATCCTCTCCCTGTTAATCATAATGTCGTCTACGTAGGCTAAAACAAACACAAAGAAGTCTCTAAGGACTTAGTTGACTAGGGGCCTGAAAGACAGGAGGGGTGTTGGTGAGTCCAAAAGGCATTACTAAATGATAAAAGTACCAATTAGGGGTCTTAAAAGCCGTCTTCCATTGATCCCTTTATCTGACCCTGATTAATTATTACGCATTATGGAGAATTCACAAAATACTAAGGCCCTGTGAATAGGTGCAGGTAAGGAGAGGCAATGAATACCACCATCATTAGGTTGAGTTTTCTGATGCAGGGCCTAAATGAACCATCTTTCTTTTCAACTAAGAACAAACCTGCAACAACAGAGGACAAGGATGGTCTGATGATTATTGCTTTAAGGGAACCATTGGTGTCAGACCTGGAAAAGTTGAATAGATGGCCAGAGGTTTAAGGGAGCCCCTGGGATGAAATCTATGGTGCAGTCATAATGGCGGTGAGGAGGTCTGAAGGGGCAACAGGGCAGACTGGGGTGGAAGAGGACAAAGGAACTGCAGACTGGAGGCAAGAAGCTAAGCAATGCAAGCTCTAAACTCCAATGCAGGACTCTTGCCGGTTTATGTTAGGGTTGTGAGCAGGGGTGGGCTGGGACAAAAAATCTGCCCTGGCATTTTGGACTGGAATGGCCCAACACATTTTTTTTGGTGTACTGAATGTGTAAACCAAGTGTGCAATACCTT